TCCCCCGGTTTAAATACATCCGGTTTTAATTCGTCTGGTTGAAATTCATCCAGTTCAAATTTCTTATGTTTGCCTCTGTATGGCTCCCGTTTTGTCCATTTGATCCATTCAAACATTTCCCGATTAAACTCGTCCAAATTTCTTTCATTCGTCCAATTAAAATTCATCCGGTTTTATTTCGTCAGTTTCAATTCGTCCGGTTTAATTCGCCCTGTTTATTCATCTGGTTTTGATTCGCCTGGTTTGCATTCATCCGGTTTTATTTTGCCCGTTGGAATTCATCCGGTTTTATCCGCCAGGTTCAAATTCATCCGGTTTTATTTCGTCCAATTGAAAATCATCCGGTTTTTTTTCGTCCGGTTTACATCCATCCGGTTTCAATTCGCCTGGTTTACATTCACTCGGTTTTATTTTGCCCGGTATAAACTCATCCAGTTTTATTTCGTCCAGTTTAAACTCATCCGGCTGATTCGTCCAATTGAGAATCATCCGGTTTGAATTCGCCTTGTTTGAATTCATCCTGTTTTAAATTGCGCGCGCATCGCCCATGCATCGTGCGTGCGCCGGCGATGCGTCGGGGATTCGTTGCGATCCTCCGACCCCCTCAGCGAGAACCCCACGTGGGATGCCCAATCGATAAAGAAACTTCAGAATGAACAGAAGCTTTCGTTGGCGCGGGACCCTCCCAGCGGCGCAGAAATTATATCTTTATGTATGGTTATGTTTGTAGAGTGTCTGAAACCTTCAAGAGCTTCCACACAGCAAGGATGACAAGATATTCAGGGTGAAGCAAAGCGGGATGAAGCCCTCAAAGGCCCAAAACCGACGACACTTACAAGGTTCCGATGACCCGCTCGGATAAAAAAACGTGAGCGGCGATTCCCATAGGGAGGGGGGTTCCCGCCTGATATCGTCTCGCAATGCTCTCACAGACGAAGCTCTGTTGACGATGGTTTTGTGATGATGATGATGATGATGATGATGATGATGATGATGATGATGATGATGATGATGATGATGATGATGATGATGATGATGGGTGGTGAGTAGTAGTTGTGCGTGGGTGATTTGGATACTGAGAGTGTGTGCGAGTGTGTAAATGGTGATGATGTGGTAACGATGATGATCTGAGTATGTGAGCGTGTGAGTGAAAAGGGAGGGGGTGCTCCTGTTCCTGCGCAGGGTGCCCACGGAAAACAAAAACCCGATGGTGGATACGTGGGCAAAAACATCCACACAAAATCGATCCTTGGATCGCCAAACATATGTATGTACATACACACACATATAGAAACCACATATATACACATATATACATATTGAAATCCATGTATGTATATATATGTGTATAAACACATATACATATATGGGTTGGTGGGCATGGTGTTTCTTGCAAGAATCATCTTGCCCCCTGCCGGACCCCGAAGAACCAAGAAAAAACCTCTGAACAAACATAACTTTTCATCGGCGGTGGACCCTCCCAGCGGCGCAGAATGTTTACATAACCCTGTGCCCCGGACACTAATCACTCTGGGATAGTAAAGTTCGGGGGTCTGGCGGGGATAAACAACGATTTCCCCGCGGAAGGTGATGTTAGTTATGAGTTATGGTGATGATGACGAAGATGATGGTGATGATGGTGATCTTAGGCGCTCGTGTAGACTGACTTTGTAGATTTGGCACAAGACTGATTCAAGAGATCTCGAGGCTCATGGCTACACCTTGTCTGCGAAAGGGAAGGCCTCGGCCGTTTTGGCCAAAAAACCTCTGGCGCACGGTTTCAAACCACTCGCCCATGCAGGCCCGGCACCCTTCGGAGCCGTCTTTGCACGGGAAGCAGTCGGTGCACGCTTGGGCGGCGAATTCGATGCTGTTGCTAGTTTACAAAATATGATAGCAACTTCGATTCGTAATTTTCCCCGTCGGTTATCAAGTTCGGTCTCCGCGCCACTCTCCACATTTCATGAATTCGATTGATCCGGGATTAAACATACTGGGGGGAAGGGAGGTATGTTTGATTATCCGGGGCACGGGGTTATATATATACACACATACATACATACATACATACATACATACATACATACATACATACATACATGCATGCATGCATGCATGCATGCATGCATGCATGCATGCATGCCATGCATGCCATGCATGCATGCATGCATGCATGCATACATACATACATACATACATACATACATACATACATACATACATACATACATACATACATACATACATACATACATACTATACCAACACAACCACGCACGCGCTACGCGCGCGCTTAGGTTCTAGTCGCAGATGAGCCACGGGTGCCAGTGTAAACCCCGCTGTGGCCACAACGACGATTTCCAGCGTTCTCGGGCTCATGCCATCAACGCAAATCAAAGAAGACGCGTAGTCCGAACGCGGGGCGCCACGTTCCCGCGCGTCTCAAATCTCGCTGCCGCGCTTGTTTGATACATCGAGCTGCGTTGTTTCTCCATTTTCACTACCGCTTTGCCCCGTCGTGAAACTCAATGATTTTGCACATATGTTCGGTCTCCCCATGCCCGATCACGCAAACATCCGCCGGCTCCTGATGTTGGGGCTGGCTCGGGGCCTCGTTGCGCGCGCGTGGAAGCGCGTTGCTGTTTCTGTTCCGATTCCTTGTGTTCAAAGCTTCTCGTTGTCAGCGGTCGCTCAGCTGCAGGGTATCTGCAAAGGGCGCGCGCAAATGTCCAGGTCATCAGCGCGTCCAGTCCAGTCCGTCGAATCCGTCCACGGGAGGAGAAGCTCCTTTGTGCTGGACGCCAAACCTCATGCTGTCGACGATCGCACCCGTGGGAACAGAAGGTTCGGGCTCACGGGGGATGCTCAAGGATTTGCCTGGCAAACCCAATGTTTGGGGCTGTCTGGAGCTTTGACGGGGTTTCTGGCGGTACCTTCTTGGCGTTCTCGCGAGGCCTTTCAGGAGGTGAGGGAGGGGCGCGAAACCTGAGAAAATTGTAACCCCGTTCGCTCGGGCGGGCCCGCCCTGCAAGGGTGGGAGGAGCAAGAATCGCGTGAATGAATACATATGGTGTAGGGATGCCCTGTTCTCTCTCTCTCTCTGGCGGGGTTTTCCCTGGGCTCTGGCGGGGCTTGCCCAGGAGGGGAGGGGGGAGCACGAAACATAAGGAAAATTATTGTATAGCCACACCCCGTGCGCTCTGACGGGGCTACTTCGGGCGCGGTGGGAGGAGCAAGACAAAACAGGGACTGTATATCGAGAGCGGCCAAGAAGGGGGTGTCCCAGAGGGGGGGGGGGGGGGGGGCAAATCACGACTGGCGGCACGCGCGCGGCCCAGCAGGGTTCCAGGGACGTAATGAAACAAGAAGAGGCGCCATGACATCTGGGGAAGTATCACGGCCCCCGCCATGATATCCACCCCCCCTAGTCATCACCCCCCTCTTTGCCGCCCCCGAGTATATGGTATAGCAACACCCCTCTCGCTCTGCCGGGACCGCCCTTAAAAGGGGGGAGGGGCAAAGCAACTTAGGATATGATAGGGTATGGCGATGGCCCGTTCGCTCTGGCGGGGCCTGTTTTTGGCGGGGCCGCCCCAAGAGAGGAGGGGGGAGCACGAAAACTGAGGGGTGAGGGGGGGGAGGAGAGGAGGGAATGGAGGCAAGGGGAGGGGGCGTGAGGGAAGGAGGGACGGAGGGGGGAGGCCTGGGCCATCTGGGCCGTCTTCGAGCGTTCTGAGGCCTCCCGCTCCCGCTCTGTGGTCCATTTTGGGCCTGTCCTGGAGCCTCTTGGGCCGTCTGGGGCTCCTCGTGGGCCATTTGCAGGCCCCCTGGGGGGAGAAGTCTTGCGGCTCTTTTGGGGGCGTATTCGGAGGTGTTGGGGCGGTCTTGGGGGCGTCTTCGGCCGTTTTCGAGCATTGAAGCTCGAGAACGCTAGAAAACTAAATTTAAAGAACCAATGCAAGTCAATGACTTGGGCTCCCTGGCGTCCTGGGCCTAGGTTCGAAGGGGCCACCCACCCTGCAAAAACCTCGCTGGCACCCCCCACCACGCCCCTACCTCGCCTGACACCGCCAGCCCCCTGGCGCCCGGGGCCTAGGTTCTTAGGGGCCACCCACCCTGCAAAAACCTCGCCAACACCCCCTGCCAGGCCCCCGCCGAGCCTGACACCGCCAGCCCCCTGGC